AAAAACTCCCTCTAGCACGTTTTTGGTTTGGTAATGTGTACTGGGCGTTAGTTAAACAAGGCTTAGATGCTAAAGTCCAAAGATAAAAATGGAAGCGCAATCCTGTGCCTCCCAAAGGGTTGCCTGGACATGCAGAGGTCCCTCATTCTGCACCGAAACCAGGTGGCGAGCGCTCTGTGCAGCCAAGATGGAAGTGCCCACCACTGCAAGGTATTTGGTTAGTCTATCAAAAGTTTCCACAAACACTTAACCCCTTCTAAGCCTCAGTTGCCCCATCTATTAAAAAAGCAAGGCTGAAAATGTGCATGAGTTACACACATGAAGTGATCACCACAGAACTTGGTACAGGGAGCCCATGGTTGATCAATAGAAACCACAGGAACGTGTCTAGTTTCCCAGGTCAAATCATGTAAGAAACAATCTGAAAATATCTAAAGGGGGGGGGGCGCGGGGGAGTATTTAGCAAGGTAAATTATAGTAGTAAATGTCCTACAAAAGCTAAGAAACACTATTTAAAACAAAATAGTCAAGAACGTAATTAATCCAAGTTGTCTCAGGCCATGTGTTGTAAAAGAAACATTTATAGAAGCCACCATGTATGAACACACTCATGAACCATTTCTGCGAGCTTACTGTCACATTCAATTTTGTGGCAAGCTTCCATTACGGATTTACCAACTTTCACAAAAACCCTAGACAGGTATGGTTAGTGGGCACATTTTACGGATGAGGAAACTGCTACCAACCAGCCGAGTCTGCCCCAGAACTCATCCTCCACCACCACACCAGGTGTTGTTCAAGTCAGTTCGGCGACCGCAGTACAAGAGAAACATCGCTGCGTCCTGCACAGCCTGGTGAACATGGCTAAGGCTGAGCCCTCTGCTAATTCATCTCCTTAAAGGTATTCCACTTTGTGAAACATAATGTTCTTTCCCAGGGTTCGGTCCCTCCTGACAACACACCCAAAGTACACAAAGTGAAGTTTCACCACTCTTGTGTCTCTGAAGCACTCTGGCTACACTTCTTCCATGACGGACTGAGAGCTGTCTGTCCTTCTAGCAGTGCTGGGAAGTCACTATTCGCTGCCAACATCATGTTTCAAAAGCATCAGTCCTCATTCAGTTTCCACTAGCGTCCGAGGCTGACTGACAATACCACGGCTGGGTCTGGCATACCTTTAGTTCTCAAAGGGACACTTGTTTCTGAGCACTTTAATTAATCTCTTGCAGCAGATTTGCCCAATGAAATAGATCATTTGATTCCTTGACTGCTGTTTCCATACGCAGCAGGACTGTAGATCAAGGTCAGATGAAATCGCGACAACTTCAACGGTGTCTCCATTTATCCTGTTGCTGTGAGATGTCGGTTCTCCTTTTCTTTATATTCAGGTATAATTCATATGCAGGGCTGTATTTTTTTTCAATCCATTATCTGTAAATGCTTCAAGTTTTCTTCACCTCCAGCAATCACAAGGGTCCCATCTACATCTTGCTAACTACCAGTTCCTCTGATCCTGATGCTACTTTCTCTGTCTAGTCCAGCTTCTCAGAGGACTTGCTCCCTCTAGAGACTGAATGAGTATGGTGAGAACATACAACACTGGCTCGTGCCTTTCCTGATGTTAAATCATGCAGCATCCCCTTTGCTCTGTTCAAACAATTGCCTCTGTCTACAGAAAGGATCTGCATGAGCATAAGTATGTGCTCTGGAATCCAAAGTGAAAGAGTGGGGACATCATGGAACACGGAAGGGGCTGCGATGAGAAACCGAACCAGAGTGCCTACGAACGGTTGAACATAAAACTATGATCTGCTGTGTCAAACTTCACTTAACTTACAAAGTTTAAAATATATAGATTCTGGAATTCCCATTCTTTGCAATGTTAACCATAATTTTTGCTAATTCCATTCCTCATCACTGCTGGCGTAGCACACATTTTTGACCGTCCAATTCAAATTGGCCAACAGCAGTCGATTTCAACTCACTAATGCCTAGACTATCGATCCTTGTGAATTCCATTTTTGATGACTTCCATTTTCCCTAGACGCATGTTTCATATATTTCATGTTCCACTTATTATTGGTTGTTTGCTACCTTCCTCTCACATTGATTCATGCCCCACCAGTAAATGAGTGTTCCAAAAGCTTTGCTCCATCCATGTCAGTTAGGTCAGCTCTACTTGAGGAGGAGGCTCTTCCCCAGTGGTCCCGAGGTGCTCATCTTCCGGCACTGCATCTCAATGCCCCACTACTATTCCCAAGTGGACAGCCTATTCTTTCTTCTGACTCTAAGTTGGAAGAACTCTTCCACTGAAACCTGTATAACACGGGTAACCCTGCTGGTTTGTAAAATATGGTGTCAAAGCTTCTAGTGGATCTTTTATATAGCCCAGTTTATGATTTCGGTTATTGTACACTCTACAGCCCAGTGTAACAAGTGAAATCACAATAAAGCTGAACCATAGAAAAGCAGCTCAGCTTTGCAAAGTATTGTCTCAGAAAATGTAGTAACACATTTTATAAAGAACCCTACCAAAAATGGTTAAAGCCAGGGGTGGCCACTGAAGCTCCTCTCACGATGTGCTGAGCACCCCCGAGGGTGCACGGTGAGCCATCTCCTTCTCAACACTCCTCCCAGGCTGGCCTCATCTCCCTCTCCTCACCTCAGAGATGCCTCAAACCACAAGCTGAGGCTAAATGCACACTCGGGCTTTCAGGTCCCACGCCTCATCCTGGAGACAGCGGGACTGCGGACTTGATTCCAGAAGCAAACATGAAATGATACCGTGCCTCTCATTTCTAATAGCAAACCTGATGACCAGGCAATGACCTTGCCCAAGCCCACACCCTCATCCCACAGGGATAAGACAGACACCAATTACAGCCTTACCTTCCCTTTCAGTGTCTGCAAGGCATCCAGGTAGGCCGCCAGCATGGGCAAACTCAGAGTCTCTACCAGGGTGGTGTGTAGCCACTGGATCAGCTTGGTGTCCCAGCTCACACTTGCCAGCGCCTGCCGCACTCTCCTCGCGCACTTGTCCACGGCCACGCGGCGCAGCACTGGCTCATTGCAAGTCTGAAAGATGTAAGTGGAACTGATGAAAATGAAGCGATGGGAGGGAGCTAACAAGGCAGTCAGAGACTGGAGCTTGAACTAGGACAGGTCTCTAGCACCTTACCCCTTCATTGGCCAAGCGGGCAAGCCTGTCGGACTGCAAGGCTTTGAGAATCTTGTTGAAGAGCTTGTTCTGGGCCATTGTCCATCCAGTCCTGGGAAACAAACAACTGTCAAGAATTAAAGTCAGATCCAGAGGCACTCCTCATGCATGTGCATATATAAAGACCGTGCCGGGTTTTATCTTCCTGTTATAAGGGAACATAATTTGGGAGACAGCTTAGTCTAAGACCCTGTGAGGGTTTGGGGACCAATCCTGCCCATGAAACCACCTCAGCATTTTAACAGCATACCTTTCTATTAGTTACGTATCCCAACACACCAGGACCAATCCCAAGTAAGATCGTTAGTGCTAGCCAAGCGACTGCCAGCTGAAACAGCCACATCAAGAAGCACACGTGTGAAAAGAGAACTGTACGGCACACTGCCCAGATAAGCTGGGAGCTGACGAGGCTCCTATTTCACTCAGAAAGGCAGCCGAGGCAGCATGTACTTCACTGCGAGCTCAGGCTTGAGCAAGAGGCTGATCGCAACTAGCTGTAAGAACAAAATCCATCACCGAAAAAGAACGGATCAAGTGGCTACACTCTCAATCCCAACTCTAATCTCCCTCCTTTTCTCACAGATGATTTCCTGCATTTCTCTTCTGCATGCCGCAGTTTTTATTCTCCAAGCTTGTGAGGCCGGCACACACTCCCACCGTGTTTACGGATGGCTGGGTGCACCCTCCAACTCGGCAGCAACCCCCGGCCAGGATTTGATACCCTGTCCCAACGGTCTTACACCTAGCTCAGCGCACCCAGCACAGCTGCCTGGGGCTTACTTGTCCACCCCCACCCCCACTGCACCTGCCTGCCTCTGCTACCCTCCCTCTGTCCAGGAGCCTTCCTACACACACTGACAGAAGCGCAACAGAACAGCAGAGGCTGCCCAAGTAGTACATGTTTACCAACTCTCCCTGACCACCCCAACCCGCCCCCAAATCTGGGTAAGTTATTTTTAAAAATATAAATGGATGCTAGACTCATAAGAGAATCTCAAATGAGAAGAAGGTGGCATTTCAAAACCGGTAGAAAGTCAGTGAGTGGGATGGAGACAAAGTGCGAGGCAAGCGGATAAGAGAAAATCCAAGTCCTGACACCCCACTCACAGATGGTGCAAAAAGTTCACCCAATAAAAGTACTAACCCGAAAATACTGGAGGGGGAGGAGGATAAGTGACTTTTAAAAGTATATCATGAAATGCGTAAGTCCTTTCTAAGTACTAAGTATGACCCACAACTTAGAAGGAAAAGAGGGATAAATGTAACTATATAAAATCTAACTTCAGTAAAGGAAAATAAATTGCCACAATAAATAAAATTGACACACAATTGAAAATCAATCAGGAAAAAATACTCAAAAAACAATGGGCAATGAATATGATAAGGCAGTTCACAAAAAGAGTAAAACTTTTAACCTACCAAGTGGGTACAAATGAACAATCCTAAGCATTCCTTGAGTTGTGAGAAGTGTTAAGAACTAGGTCCCTTCCTGCTCTGTGAATTGGCAACATAAATTAACTTCTTTGGGAAGTTAATGGTGGCATAGGGAGTTACACACTGGGTTGTTAACTGCCAGGTTGGCAGTTTGACCCCACCAGTGGCTCTGAGAGGGAAAGATATGGCTTTCTGCTCCCATAGAAATTCACAGCCTCAGAAACTCAAAGGGGCAGTTGTATCCTGTCCTACTCGGCCGCTAACACTCGATGGCGGTCAGAGGGCGAGTTAACTGGTAATACTGTCCAGATCATCCCGGGACACCAAGCCCTCCAGGTGCTCCCATTTCAGGGAGTTAACCACCAAAGGTCCTCACCAAGGCGGTTTCCAGCCTCATCACCCATGACTGTGCCCTCACATAACCCGTTCCTTCCAGAAACAAAGGCCTCCTCCCTCCATCCTCGCCTTCCGGTGGTGGCCTTCTATCGAAGCATTCCCTGACTCACCTGATTTAAATTCAGGACCTTACTGGATTCTTTGGCCCCTTTCCAGCCCAACCACCCACCACCTTTACATTCTGCCCATCTGTTTTGTTTAGTCTGTCTCCTCTGCTAAGTTGTCCAGGGAGGTAGGTAAGAGTGTGTTGGTTTCTCGTCACTGATGTATCCCAGCATGTAGAACAGTGCCTGGCACAAACAGCGGGGCTCAAGATTTATTTGCTAAATAATCAGATGGATGATTTGTGCGCACAGTGGGCCCCACATTGGGTCCAGTACAGACACAGCTGGGCCCAGACTCAGCCCATCACACAAACACCACAGCAGAACATGGGCACCCTATGGCAGAGATGCGGAACCAGGCCGATTTAGGCGTGACTGCTACCTGAGTCCTTCCCCATCCCAGGTAGTCTAACTGCAGTGGCACTGCCTGAGACCCTCTCAGCTTCTCTGGCTGCACGGTGGGCTCACACAGGGGCCATCATCACCCCACCCCACAAGAGGGTCTCATTTCTAGAGGCCACTTCTCTGAGAACGCTGGCAACAACCGACCAAGTAGCAGGAAGGGTTATGCTCAGGGAAGACAATAGCCCTTTATTTATTCATGTCGCACAATTATCTTCATGTCTTTGGAAAGAGTCATTACACTCTGAAAAGGAGGAAACTACGGTCTCACTTCTGTAAAATAAAAGCCCCATCTCCTGAATGTCCTGCAGTCACAAGTTACCGTGTTAAACGGTCAAGATGTATACTAGCTAGAAGTTCAGCCTCAGGCTCAGCCCTGCAATCAAGGGCTGGCTGTGCGCCCAGAATCGTCTCATCTGGAAAATAAAGGTAAGGACTAGTCCATCTCTCTGTTCCTTCTAGCGTTAAAAAAGTCACTGCGCAAGGATTAGCTACGATTACTGAGGAGTCCGAGTGGTACAGAAAGAAGGCTGAAGCACTTAACCTGCGAACTGAAAGCCTGCCATCCAGCTTCTCAGAAGAAAGGCCTGGAAAACCAGCCACTGAAAATCCCACGGAGCCCAGCTCTCTGACAGACACGATCAGCATGAGGCAGTGCGACGCGACAGCAGTTCCCTTCATGGCTACTGAGGGAGCCAAAGCCAATGCAGCGAGAGCAACATGGCTACTGAGGGAGCCAAAGCCAATGCAGCGAGAGCAACGAAGGCCATCACAGAGAGAGAAGGAAGCGACTCCCTCCCTCCCTCCCTCCCTCCCTCCCTCTGCAGTCCTTGCTTTCACAGCCACCTACTCTGCTCACTCTCGGGGGTACGCTGCTCACACTCAGCTAGCTGAGACTGCCTGCTCCCTTCAAGATTTACAGCCTCGGACGTCCGACACAGGGCCACGATGACTTCGAAGTGACTTGACGGCAGGAGTTTGGGTTTTCTGATTTTGTAGGGGGACCAGAAACAGGTTTCTTGAGATGTTCCTTTTTCTCCATTTTCCCCAAATTACTTTGACTTAATCCCTGCCACTGCACCAGGCTACCGTCGGTTTTTTTCCCATGTCTCACACTCAGAGATTTGAGATTTAGAGTAGGGAGTGGAAACTTCAGCTCACCGGTGGGACTCAAATGGTCTTCTACGGTAACCCTATCTTGGGACCAGTCTGGTAAGACTTGTGGCATCATAAGCTTCAACCCACTGGTTCATAATCTCTTCTCCTTTTCTCCCACATTGTGAAATGCACAACACACTCACATGAGTAGGCTCCTGATGTAAAAGAAAAATCAAGTGGGTGTGAGAGTTTGGGGGAGGAGCAGGAGGCAAACGGTACTGAGAAGTTGTTTGAACACAAGCTCGGGAATTACCCGCATCTATTTCCACCCTAGACAGCTTTTTGTTTTTAACAGCTGGTGAAGTTCTACCCTACTGGTGGACATGCAGCTTCTCTAATTTTAGATGGTGTTGCTGGTATAAATAGAGTGCAGTGATCACCCCTTTCTGACCCCACTCCACACACATAGATGCACACACATCTGTACAAATACTCATGCAAGCAAGTACCCCTACAGAAAAATTTCTAAAGCTGATGGAAACATAAAAAAAAATCAATCAAAAGCAACCAGTGTTAAAAAATGTTCACTCTCCTGTTCTGTAAGAATCATATAAAGAACATGCAACATGATGAGAGTGGCATTATACTGCTCTCAAGTGATACACAGAAATATATTACTCCCACCAATACTGGTTTACTAATAATCAGAATGTAATGCAAAGAAATAGAATTTCATCGTGTACATCAAACTCTTGCGCCTTCTGAGAACCAGAGAACAAGGTATAATTCGTTTACAAGGCGCCGACAGCATTTCCAAAAGTAGCTTGTTCTTCATTGTCTAACAGGGGTTTCCCCATTTGCTTTTCTTACTTTCTGTTTATTCTTCTACCCAACACGAGAACAGCCAGGAAAGTGAACAACCTGAGGGGGTAGGGAAGAAAGTGATTTGGGAATCGCCACCACTCACCGATGACAGCAGAAATGAACTAGGAAAACCACGGGGTTTTGAGTCTCCCATCTCAGAAAAAGTTCTTAGAATTACTGTTGGGTTGTTAGTGATTCCAAGAACTGAAACACATTTCCTATGTTTTGTCAGCTTCATGAGAAGCTGGAAAGTTAAATGGGCAAAAAAAAAAAAGATCTAACCCAAGATTAAGACACACAGTACTTCAAAGATATAATTAAGGAAAAATATAAAAACAGGAGACGGAATTTTAAGTACAAGTCTCAACGGTCACAGAGCTGATGGGAACTGTGGTGAGTCAGCTGCCTCTCCCCCATTTAAACCTATTCAGTTAACTTGAGCGCAAAAATGCCTTTTCTTCATCTCTGGGATGAGATCAGATAATGCCATGCTTCGCAGGCTCTGCCTGACCTGACCTCTGGCTCCTATTCAAGGCAGCTAGGTTTTCACCCTGTCCCAGCAATGGTCTGACGCTGCTTCGTGAGACACCAATTCAATAGTAAAGCATCTAAAGGTTTAGTTTGCTTTGTTGTTTTCTTAAATTAAGAATTTGGGAGAGACAACAGTCAACTGATTGGCTAGCACAATCTTTTCAGATGACTGAAAATGGCTTTGTTCAAACACCAGGATTATGTAGGAAAGAAAAGCAACAGA